ACATAACATATATATATATATATATATATAATATAATATATATATATATATATATATATAATAGTAGAAGAGAGAGAGAGAGAGAGAGAGAGAGAGAGAGAGAGAGATGAGGAGAGAAAGAGAGAGAGAGAGAGAGCAGAGCGAAGGGAGCGAGAGAGAGAGAGAGAGAGAGAGAGAGAGAGAGAGAAGAGAGAGAGAGAGAGAGAGAGAGATGAGAGAGAGAGAGAGAGAGAGAGAGAGAGAGAGAGAGAGAGAGAGAGAGAGAGAGAGAGAGAGAGAGAGAGGGAGAGAGAGAGAGAGAGAGTGAGTGAGTGAGAGAGTGAGAGTGAGAGTGAGAGTGAAGTGAGAGTGAGGACAGAGAGAGAGGGAAGGAGGGAGGAGAGAGAGAGAAACAGAAACAAAAGGGAAGATTAGAATTAAGATAACTATAAAGAGAAAAAGCTGAACACCCACCCACCCGACCCCTTTTCTCGAGCGGATCCCGAAATCCGCGGTCTCTTCTCGGAGCGCAAGCGACCTCAAGCTACAGGAAGTATCAACAACCTCCGAGGCTCGACTGGTAAACAATCTCCTTATCTCTGGGTTATAAATCTCTTTGTGGAAATTTCTAGGCGAGTTCGAGGTTTTCTTTCGGATTTTGATGTAGGCTTGGTAGGAACAGAGAGTTGTGTTATGATCTACGGGGATTGTAAGTAAAGAAGGGAGATTTAGCAATTCAGACCCAGCCCATCTAGAGAGAGAAAAAAAAATCATAAATTTGCAGTCACTTATAACCACTGTATTTTTCAGGTTCTGCTTGTTGTAGTTTCCCTTGTGAGGGTACAGTGGCTTTAGCATGATTGGAAGAAAAATTGTGTCAAGGATGAATGGTATCTAAAAAGTATTGTCTGTCTCAATTAGACTGTAAAGGAATTATATCCTGTTGTATGACCAGCAGTTAGTAGGTGATTTTGAAATATTGTTGGTTAATCTTTATGGTGTTGATATACTAAGTTTGGGCAAATTGAATATGATATCCTTGTAGAGGACAAAAAGTTACAGTTGTTGGATAAGAAATAATCTGCAGAAATGGTAATGCCACAAATAAAAGAAGAAAAGGATTAGGTAAAGTGCTGCTCTCAGCCAAAGTTCACTCGGTGCTCCCAAGTTTCAACTCCATCTTGCCATGCATACTGAGATGAAGACAATTTTTTCCCTGGGCGGTAGGGGGCAGGTCCTCCCATCAACCCTCCCTTTGGGCAGTGCCCAAAGGGCACACCCAGTCACAGCAACTTAGATTGATGAAAAAAAAATTGACAAGGAGTTGGTGACTTTGACTCTGGCGAGTGTGTCCATACTATAAAGAATTACCATATTATTTAGTTTAGGAATTTTTTTCATGTTTTGAGGTAAAGCAGAGGGCCTTTAACACTTTTTTGACACTCAAGGTTTTTAGTCATAATTTTATATCAAGAGAAATAGTCAGTTGTTGTTGATTTCCCAAATTATTTTCGTTTTGGATAGCCATCACCCACAAAGTAATTTATTTATGGGAATGAAAGATTGATGAATCGATATGCATATCCAGAGTGGTAGGCAGTATATTTTGGCAAAAGTTTATATTATACTTATTGTTATTCTAGAATTTTCTACATCACATTGAAGTCATCTGTGTTTTGCAAATAGAATAGTAGGCACTTATCCTCAGAATTACATTTGTTCAGAAGATGAATCTTTTTCACCAGAATTATTGTCAGTGAAAAAAATTAAAAATGAAACATTCAGATGGATAATGCATTTCATACAGTTTTCCTTTGAAGTTACAGTTGAGAGCAATTTTAAACATTTTACTATATTACATTTTCTTGCTCCTCTAAGTGTTCATTTTCTTGCTTCTTTTCCTCTTCTTTTCCTGTCTTTCTATTCCTCATACTTACCTGCTGTGGTTCATCTTTACGGTATTGACACACTAAGCAGCAAAATTGTAGATGATAGTTTTGTAGAGGACAAAAAGCTGTAGTCTTTGGTACAAGAAACAATCTGCAGACACAAACGACACGCAACAAGTGAAGGAAAGGAATTGCGAAAAGTGCTCCTCTTAGTCCATTACATCCTCCCAAGTTTTAGCTCTTTCTTACCATGCATACAAGGTGAAGACAGTGTGTCCTGGGGGGCTGTTTGGGGGCTTTTCCCTTGGGCAGTGCTCAAAGGGGACACCCAATCATGGTAACTTGAATTGTTGAATAAATTTTGTGACATGGAGTTGGGGACTCAGTGTCTGGTGAGTGTGTCTATATTGTAAATAATTACACCTGTTGTTTTTGTTATTATGATTTTAGCCCTCTCTTGAAAAAAAAAAAAAAAAAAAAAAATTGCCCAATAACCCTATGCAGACAGGTCCCATTTCAAGTAATACAATTAAACTAGGATTGGTCGATTTGAAATGTTTCCGAGGCATGTTCAAGTGTCTGAACGTGAAGTTGGTATTGGTACTCAAACAAACATGGGTAGCCGGCAAAATGTAGCTAACATCCCCAGTGACACAACAACCATAGAATCATAGAATGTAAAGGCTACTCTATCAAACCGAACACATCAATGAATCATTTTCATATTCAGTGAGTTGATGTATCTGTGAACTTTTGTTTTGAGACCTTTGATCCTTCCTGGTCACTGAAGTCTCCTGCAGCAATTCATATATTTCTTAATAGTTACCCTTATTATTTGCTTTACCAATACTAATTATTTATATAGTGCCACAAAAGTGCATGCTTGTAATTGTCATATAATGCCACAGACAAACATACTACTGTGTGTTATATTGTGTCATATAGTGCCACAGAGGGACATACCATTGAGAGTCATAGGGTGCCATATAGTGCCACAAAGGGGCATGCCTGTAAGGCCCATACTGTGCCATATAGTACTATGGCTCCACTGTAGTACTATATGGCTCCACTGTGCCATATAGTACTACAAAGGGCATGTCTGTAATTGTCATAATGTTCCATATAGTGCCACAGAGGGACTTACCATTGAGTGTCATAGTGTGTCATATAGTGCCACAAAGGAGCATGCTTGTAAGGCTCATACTGTGCCATGTAGTGCTACATATGGAATGAACATTCAACCAGGGATTATACTTATCCAGTTATAAAAGCTGGAAAGCCATGCATTTATTTCTTAAACTGTGAAAGAGAAGTCATGAAGTTGAGAAGAAGTTATTCGTGAACATGATAAAAGATTGAGACAAATTTGCAAATGTAGTGCCAATATTGACTTCTCTGTTGTTGTTGTTATTGTTTTTTTCTTATCTAATCAAATCTTTTACTTTACTTTTTGTTTAATAGTAAATGAGACTTACTACATGAAGTCAGATTTTACTCTCCATTTTTCATCTCTCCCTTTTCTCCTCACAGCAGAGAGGGGACACAGTGCATGAAGGCAGACCACCATGGCACCGGCTCGCGATGCCAACGTGGTCAAGTTGGCCGTGGAATTGCGGCTTATGGACATGAGAGCTCACCCTTACCTGGGGGAGTTCAGTCTTCAGCGGCAGCTTGTGGATTTCATTAAGGTGAGATAATCTTCATTATCACTATCTTGCATCTATTCAGACAACTTAACTCAGGCTGGTAAATACAGTATGATCCCTTTTAGTGATTTATGTGTTAGCAGTCTTTATTGTGTATCAAAACAAATACATTTTTACTGGAAACATTGTGTATTAATTTGTTTTTTGTTTGTTAACATTTCAGGACCTCTGCACGTATTGGAAGATTGAAAATCCAGAGCACTTTGCCTTGCAGTAACAGAACCACCAACTCATTATGTACTGAAAAGAACCGAAGCAGAATCAAAGTAAGTACTTCACAGCAAACCATTTCTTATTGACTCTCTTACATGGAAGGATTATACAAACTCACTTTGTAGGAGGACAGTGACATTGCTTGTCCCCCTCTCATTCTTTTTCTTCTTTTTCTTCTGCTTGTATTTTTTTTTTCTTCATCTTCACTCATTTTATTTTTTCAGGATGGAACTGTTCTGATGCTAATTTACTCTGCAAGCAAGACAGCTGATGATATTCTTCACAAGCTAAAAAAGGTGTGCTCGAAGAAAAAAGAGATGCACTCATAATGCTTGTGAAGATGAGCTCAGATATCACCTTTGCACAGGAATTCTTGCCAAGCAAGTGAGTTGTTGTTTTTTCAGAATTTTGAGTCTTTGAATGGATATAATGTGAAACAAAAAGATATCTTTAGAGAGGTTTTAAAAGAATATGTTATCTAAGTATTCATTATTTTGTGTGTAAGATATTTTCCCCCAAAAAAAGTTCATCACAAACAAAATGTACAAATACATTTTCTCTTTCTAGGGTATCATCCTTCTAATAGCACACATGGAAAGTCCAAGAATGAAGCCATAATTTTGCCCTACATGCTGACCTCATTCTTAGAACTCATGGATCACGGAATCATGCCCTGGGATGACCTCCAGCCGCCCTTCATTGAAAAGGTCAGGAGAGATGATGTTATTAATGTAGGAACTTGGCACTGATAGTGTGCTCGTTTGTGTGCATGTGTGTACATTTTTCACATCCTAATATCAACCCTTCTCTCTTGTTGCGCAGATGGTGTCTTTCATAAATGTGCAGGTGACACCAGAGACACGCACCCTCTCAACAGCGCTGACCATCCTGGAGAATATTGTCCTGAATAGCCAGAGCAAGTATACGCTGGTGGAGAAGCAAAT